TTGTAATTTATATATTGCTTAATGAGGGGTTGTACAAAACCAGTAGGAGCTTGTTAAAAAGATTACGGGGCACTGGAGAAACAGCCTCCATTATCATCAGAGCCAAATCTATATTATATTTCACCTACAGGAATCAGCACCTGATCAAGTGGACTGAATGAAACTTTAAATAATATTTAAACACACTACACTGCAACATCCAGGACTGAACCAGCAAAGGAGGAATTTTAACAGGTATCCTTATAAAGAACAAGGAACAGGTGCGTAACTATAGCAACCAGTCATTAATCCTGGAATGACAGGGACCTCTGGTGGTGGATCCGAAATCACATCTCTCCATCTGTTTTAATGCTGTTTTCCACAGTCAAGAGAGAAGACTTAAAGCTCGTCTGTTTTACTGTGTGCATGAAATATTATTTGGAATATTTTGTGCATTTGAAATATTATAAATACAGTTCAGTTACACTACCATTCAAAAGCTTGGATTTGGTAAGGTTTTTAAAATATTTTTTGGAGAAAAAAAAGTGTCTTCTTGCCAAGGCTACATTTAGTTGATCAAAAATACAGTAAAAATAGAAATATTCTGAAATATTATTACAATTCAAAATAACTGTTTTCTATTTGGATATATTTTAAAATTAAATTTATTCCTGGGATGCAAAGTTGAATTTTCAGCATCATTACGCAAGTCTTCAATGTCACATGATCCTTCAGCAATCATTCTAGAAGTCTTCAGAAACATGCTAATGTCTTTACTCTCAGTTTGAATCAATTTAATGCGTCTTTGATGAATAGAAGTATTAATTTATTTATACGTATTAATTATTAATTAAAAAATGTTCATTCATGAAGATGCTAATTTACTTGTGCCTTTTGTTTGTTCATTAATAAATTATTAAATCTGTAAACTCTATCTTTAAAAAATCCAGCATCATTTTGTAGCATCATTAGTTCACTAACAGACTGCTTTTAATTGCAAACCATTGTTAGTCTTGTGTAGCAGGCCTGAGCCATTATGTAATTTATTGAGGCCCACCAACCACAACGATAAACTGGCTAATATTTCGTGTCTGCGCTCACATACTTGTGTCAATTATGTTTCTGGCCTAATATTACGGTGTAAAAGTTCATAATCTGACTGGTAATGGGAAAGTTTTGTGTTAGTATAAGTAATACCACCAACCCACTTATCAAATACGGCTTTCATTTGGATGTAAGCATTAGCGTCTAGCTAATTTCATTGCAATTAATTATTACTTAAAGGCACAACATGTAAGATTTTTTTATTAAAATATCCAAAAACCACTACAACAGTGTTATATATTTTGCCGACTTGTGTACTTACATTATCCCAAATGTTTCAAAGAATGTTTAAATCCAGAGAAATAAACATTTAACTAGTGACACGGACCGTTTCCATAGTGTCATTGTGTCGCCTGCTAATGACGTCATAACCCCTCTGATTTTTCTACTAAGTTAATAAATCATTAGCTCATCCATGAACATGATTTCTGCCCGAGTCCAGTTGGATTGCATCGGCTGTGGGGATGAAAACGACAACTCCCACGATTCCACACTCAGTCAAGGTGTCATCAAACTATGCCTTTTCCTCTTTGTTTATTTTGAATACACGCCCTCTAGGGGCGAAAATTACATATTGTGCCTTTAAAGGTCCCCTGAAATGCTTAGAAACACGCAGCGTTACTCTGTGTTGATGTCATTTTAACTGAAACAGGAAGACAGGGCGGGACATATGAATCAGCCCCGCCCCTTTTTAAAATAGCCAATAGCGTTCGTTTATATCACAGCTTGGGCTAGAGCCGTTCAGAGCCGTTGAGCTCCGTAAAGCCGCATTTGACAGGGTATGCCAGCCACAATCTCATCCATATTGCTTTAAAACATAGCATTCTGTGTAGAATTCAAATAGCTCCGATGCATCATCTGGAAAGCATCTGCTGTGTGCAAACATCTGACAGACATCTTTAAGATGTCAGTTTTACATTCATTCTAAATCATAAACATCTTAAAGACTTCTTCTAAACGTCTATTTGACATCTGATAGGAAACGTCCTATAGACGTATCGCAGATGAGCAAACACTCTAAAAAATACGTCTTGTAGATGTAAATGCAGACATCAAATAGACGTCTCCTTGATATATACCTGCATGTTAAATTTCTTTAGAACTATTTCAAACCAAAAATAGTACATTTTGACATTGTTTTCAACATACTATGATTTAGGATACATTAATTCTTATCTTGCATAGCCTACTAGGACAAGCAAGTCTGGGACACAACGAACAAACTGGTTTGAATTCAGTTTTGATGTAATTTTCACAAAAATAAGATCTTAATGGTTTGTGCAAAACAAGTTCTTGAGATTATAATGGTTAATAATATCAATGTCAAGCTAAGCTAAACATGTCCATATGTAGCAGGCCATCGCGTCAGTATTAGTAACAGAAGCACATCGCGTTTCGCTGAGGCAGATACAGAGAACTCATTCACAACACACAAACACAGTCCTCCACATGCTCGCGCACACATACATACATGAAAACCCACATCAGCACCCTCGGTGGGAAGAAAACGTACACAATACGCCTCGAGATATTGACGCACAAACGCACCGGGTGAGAAATGAACACGCGGAAAGTCTGAGGATCACATCCGCGCCGCCGTGACATTGTGAGCGCAGAAACCCACCGCACGACAGATGCGAATAAGGCATCGACAAAACTGATGAAACAGCTGATGTTGGCCTTAAGAGAGGAAGTGATATAGACTGGGGAGTCGTTTATTGTTTGTTTATATTTGTGTGCGCGAGTCTGTGCGTGTTGTACGGAACGAGTGAGCTGAGGGAAGACAGAACATCCACTGCACCACTGTGTGACTGGATTCTTAATGGGAGGGGGATGGAGAGAAAGAGAGAGCGAGAGAGAGAGGTAGATGGCTTATCATTAAGTCATAATACATACTGGAGGACACAAGTGTGTGGGACGCAGACAGAGTTCAACACAGAACCAGAGGAGAGATAAAACAGGGCTGCTAATATGAACTAACTACCACAAGCATGTTCAACATGCAGGCCAAGCACCATTAATTACGACAGCTGGATCTGTTTAAGACGCTCTGTTTATTCATTTATTCCTTTAATGAGAGAATCAGCATTACTAGCGGTCATCGACCTTTACTATAGGGACCGCAAAGACACTTTAAAAAAAGAAGAAGCTGAAACTGAAATTGTGGTGCATTTTGAAATAAATTGGTGCTTGAAACCAAGCTTGCATACAGTAGATAAGCATCGGTTTAGGTACTTGTGCATGCTGTAGGCCTCCCTATGTGAATTCAAATGATGCATTTTGCATTAGCTTTCCTGGTAATGTTTTTAAAAAAATAGCTTTCATTAATAACTTATGCCCTCATATGATGTTTAAAGGAATAGTTCACCCAAAAATGTCAATTTGTTAAAAATTTACTCAACCTCAGGTCATCCAAGATGTAGATGAGTTTGTTTCTTCATCAGATTTGGAGAAATGTAGCATTGCATCACTTGCTCACCAATGGATGCTCTGCAGTGAATGGGTGCCGTCAGAATGAGAGTCCAAACAGCTGATAAAAACATCACAATAATTCACAAGTAATCCACACCACTCCAGTCCAGCAGTTAATGTCTTGAAGTGACATTGTGAAGTGAAGTGGAAAGGTGCGTATTTATAAGAAACAAATCCATCAAGATGTTTTTGACTTCAAACCATCATTTCTGGCTAAAATACCAGTCCATAATAACGCTTCCTCCAGTGAAAAAATCCATCTACTGTTGTCTCTCACATCAAAATCCACACATATTTCTTAAGAACTGTTTTGCTTGTAAACGGTGCTTGATCTGTGCAGATTTCTCTCCTGATTCAGA